CATAATCCCATCATTCGGCACACATGACTATATCTTTTATGTATATCATGATGTTATAGCCTCAATCCGTAGTCATGTTACATTGTTTTGGACTCTTTTAATTAAACCTAAAAAAAAGTTAGTTATTAAAGTAACGAGAATGATGATGGTGTTTTTAAGGCATTCTTATGTGGGGATAGGCCAGAATAAGGGTTTCATAATGATTAGAAGTGGTTTCGTGGAGAATGGAGCAACTTTATGTTCATGGGATAACATAATGTGTTTAATTTTTCATAAAGGACCATCTTATGAATTTGGAGATAGGCAAAAAGTTTTTTAAATAAGACTATTTAGCAGTTTATTCTGAAATGATCAATAAATAGTCTTTACATTGTATAATGGTTAATTTGATATAACCACTATATAGTCTGTAGGGTTAAAAAGCTGAAAAAAAATAATTAGTCTATTTAATGGTTACTTGAAGTAACCACTATGTAGTTTCAGAGACTATATAGTAATTGTTTTAAAATAACCATTAGCTTAAATAACTGTTATATAGTCTGTTACACCCAATCCTACCTCCTCTATATAACAATTTTTGAAACTACATTCATGTATCTAATATAGTGAATATAACAGCTAAATTTGCATATTAAATCCCCTGCATTCATACATTTAAGAATTTACATGGAACGTGGCATTTAAAGGGGGGGGGGCTAGATGTCGAGCTTCAAATTATTGGAGTTCAACTTCTCTGCTCAGCAAGACTTGAGGATCACATAAACACAATTTTGTATCACAATGCATAGTACTTGCTTGGTTTTTCGTTAGTTAAAAGTTAGTTTGATAAAAATAAGTTATTATAATGAAATTTATATTTAGATATATTTATTTAAGGTCAAATTAGTGCACTAAAAGTTGTTTAAATTATATACAATGAAAAGTACTTTTAAATATACAATTACCCAAAAAAATATTAATTTATGATAATTTATAATTTTTATTATAGAAATCAAATATATTAGAAATATTTAAAAAATATGAGATAAAATTGTAAATATAATTTTTTTTAAAGCCTGGTAAGTGTTTAGAGTGGTGATTTTTTTAAGAATAGATGAAGTTCATTTTGATAATTTCCCCCCAAAAAAAAATAATTTCAATTGACTTCCTTCATCCTTGACTACTATTTTAAATTTATTTGGTCTAGTATTTTTTAAGGAAAGATCAATTAATCTTAATAGTAAAATAAAAAATAATTATACAAAAATAGTCTCAAGAGTGAAAAAATAGAAAGGAAAATTAAAAGTAGAAGAATTATTAAAAACTTTGAGATAGTCTGATCATATAAAAAGTTAGGAAATTACATTTCAAGACATCGCCTCATAACTTTCACCAAATTCACATTCTAAGAACATTTAGGAAGTACTTCTCAAAAGTGAATTTGGGGTAAAATGTCACATCTAAATAATATTCCACTTTCTAATAGCCCGTTTGAATTTCAATTAGATATAATTGATTATAAAAATAATTAATTAATATGATTAATTTTAATTATAATTGATTATGATATAATGCAATTTGTTTGGATGCTAAAATTGATTTTAGCTACATAAATTACTATAAAGGACATTGCTTTTTAAAATAAAATTATTGATAAAGTTATATTTAATATTATTAAATTTGTTAAACTTATTTAAGAAGTAAAATATATTATTTAATAGCAAAATTGAATCCATAAACAACCTTTCAGAACTTATTTTAAAGTTTAATTCTAGCTCATTAATCAATTATCAAATTTGTTCGCTGTTTGGAAAACTTTTATTAAAAAATCAATTTTAACCCAAAAATTTGATTTTTATATCCTATCCAAACATGCTGTAGAGCACTTTTCAGAAAGTGAAATGTGGGGCAAAAATTAAAAAAAAACTATAAATAGGGCCACATTTCTTTCTCATCCTAACCATTCATTTTCAGTAATGATATACAACGCTATAGAACTTTGTTTCACTTCAAATCACTTGATCATTACTCAACATCACACTGAGAATCGATGAAACAATCATTCAAGTGAAAAAGTGGATCAAATCATTTGCTACCTTAATTTTAAAATAAACAATTAATAAAACAAAGAAAGGAGCCTTACCAAAAGAAAACATCAATATAAGTTGAAAAAGGAATCCAATTTTATCTATTTTTTTCATGTGAATGAACAATGGTGAAAAGGTACATATTTAAGATCCAGACAATGTTGTTATATTTAATTGCGACATCCTAAGCGATAATGAGTATTTCATTTCCGGCTTCCCAAAAGTCAAGAGCCTTAAGTTTTTTTTAATATTTATGGAGGAAACTAGCCAGGAGAAACAGTCCAAAGTGTCGGACATATTATACGGTAAAAATTGACATTTAATTTAATTTAATATTTAACCAAAGAGATTAATTTTTTTGAAATCCAAAGCTAGCTTAAGGTCTTGAAAGTAGAGACAACAATGCTGGGCAACGGATACAGACTTGTGTCCTTATTAATCCAAACTCTTCACTTATAATCAATAAATAGGTGCCTTATAATTAAAATATATTAAAAATGAATGATCAATATTAAAAGTAGTTTCGAACCATGGAATTTTTAATCGAAATTCTTCATTTCTAATCAATAAATAGGTTCCTTATAATAAAAAAATATTAAAAATGTATGATTAATATTAAAAGATTACCTAATTATGGTTGTACTTTGATTATTATTTATCTGTAATTATAGTTGTATTATTTTCATTCATGATGAGTGCCAAAAAAATTTATTTATAAAATTATTTTAAAATATTTAAATAATAATTTAGTTGAATGGCAAATAATTTAACAAATCCTTGAACCAAAGTTGATACCAACTGGAGCCCAGCATCCTGGAAACATTGTATGTATTTGTAAAAACCATGGTTTGAAAACTCGGATCGGACCGGCCTGGTCAACTCGGAAACCGATGACCCGGTCCCTTGTCCGGTCTGGGTTCATGGCTAAATCAGTGTAAGGTTGACCTAATTTAACCCGATCAACCCAAGTTCAACCCGGTACGAACCGGACAACTCGATGGGTTAATTGTGTTGATTTTTTTTAGGCTGAACCCCCAAAACGATGTTGCTTTGGGGGAATTTTTTTTTTCAAACCCTGCCCTAAAGAAATGAAAAATGACTCAAGAAATGAGGAACAGGCAATAGTCAAACAGGGTTTGCCTTGGCCAGTCGCCACTTCGCTAAGGCTTCGAAAAAAAAGGGCACGGCATGAGCATCAGATTCAGATCAGCATCAGCATCACTCAGTCGCCCACTCGTCTTCGCCACTTCGCTGACTCAGAATCGAAATATCAGATCACTGATCACTCAGTCATTTGCGTCGTCTCTTCCTCTCTCGTCCACTCACTCAATCGCCCTTACGCTCTATCTTCGACCTCTATCTCTTCTCCAGTTCTCCTCTTCTCTAATTGATCTGAAATCAGAGGCAGAGCATGCACAGGAGACACATTTCATCGTCCCAATCCATATCTTCACTTCTTCTCGACAGCGTTAAGCATTCAGCTTCAGCCCATTACAGTGGTTTAGCAGCTCGTGCTCGACTTTCAGCATCAGGTCAGTGTCAGTTTCACTGTATCTCGTGTTGGACTCTATTTTTATTTCTTGGTTCAGCTCCTAATTATTGTTTCTTTTCCTGATTGTTGTTTCTTGAACTATATTGCTTTTGCTGCTAAGCAAGCTGATTGCTTTCTTGAACTATATTTGCTAGAAGTTTTTGTAGTTTAGTCAGGCTTCACTATAGGATCTGTTTCATAACAGATCACTGGGAGATATCAGATGTGCTTGTCTTACATAAAAATAATGTATGATTGAGAATAGATTTAAAGATATTCTAAATTTGAGTTCTGAATTTTGAATGTAAAGTATTAGATTATGTCGCCCTTGTATCCCATCATTTCACCTTTATCTTTGTTTTCCTATGGTGTTGTGATTGGTTTATCACTGCCTCCGTGACACACTACAGATGATTGTATGATTGAGAACAGATTTAAAGATTTTGCTTGTGATTGTTGTCTCTTTTTGTTATTGTTGTTTTTAGATATGATTCAGCTTGCCTCTTTTTGTGCCTAGTTGTTTCTCGATTCAACTTTATTACTAATTTATTATTTGAATTTTGCATTTGTGTTAAAAAATAAAATTAAAGCTTTGTCTTTAGCTTGCAGAATAAAATATAAGCATTGTATTGATTATGGATATTGGAAGTAGTCCTAGTGATAGAAATGAGAATCTTACCTCTAATTCCAATGATCCCCCTTCTAGTGGTAATGACTCAACATGTGAGGCCATATCTGTGCATGGAAAAATTGATCCTGCACATGTTGCCTTAAGAAAAGAGGGCAAGAAAAATATATATACTTGCCTTTATTGTGCATCAAGTTATGGAGGAGGTAGGATTAACAGAATGAAGCAACATCTTGCTGGTGTGAGTGGTCAAGTAGCTTCTTGTAAGAAAGTTCCTTATGATGTACGTCACAGGATGGTTGAGTCTTTTAAAGGTGGGAGAAAAGGGAAGGTTGATGATAGAAAAGAACAAGAACAAGTAGACATTGGGGACCTCAAAACTGATGATCCAATTGCTCTTACTCTAATTAAGACAGTCCCTGAGAAAAGTGCCAATAAGAGGCAAGCTTCTACTACTTCAGTTGAGAATTGTTTTGCCCCTAGGACAACTCCTGGTTCCCAACCTAGCATCAAGAGTGTGCTTGCAACAAAAGAAGCATAGTACAATGCAAAAATGACTATTGCTGAATGGGCTATCGTTAACTGTATTCCATTTAATGCATTAGATTGCCTTTTATTTCAAAAAGCTATAGATACTACTGCTTCAATTGGGCCGGGATTCAAGGCCCCTAATGCTTATGAATTTAGAATCAACTTGTTGATAGATTGGAAAAAGGAATGTTAATTACTTATTGAGAGTCATCGAGCTAAATGGAAAAACATTGGATGTACACTCATGGCTGATAGTTGGACAGATGTGAGGCAGCAAACATTGATTAATTTCTTAGTCTATTCTACATATGGAATGGTTTTTGTGAAATCTGTTGATGCTTTAGATTTGGTAAAAGAATCTAGGACTTTGTTCTCATTGTTCTGTAAAGTGATTGAGTGGGTTGGTCCCAAGAATATTGTTCACGTGGTGACTAATAATGCTGCAAATTATGTAGCATGTGGCAAGTTGATTAAGGAAAAATATAAAAATATTTATTGGTCACCATGTGCTACACATTGTTTGAACCTTACTTTAAAAGATATAGCAAGCTTAGACAATGTGTCAGCACTTACCAATAAGGCATCAAAAATAACTATTTTTGTTTATAATCATATGATCTTCTTGTCATGGCTTAGGAAAAGACCAGGTTGGAAAGAAATTGTGCGTCCTGGTGCAACAAGATTTGCTACTACATTTATCATGTTGCATAGCATATATATGCATAAGCATGACTTGCAAACTTTGGTGACTGATACGTACTTTGTAGATCACAAATTGTCAAAGACTCAAGCTAGAATAATTGTTACTGCCATCATATTAGGTAATGGCTTTTGGGGTGATTGCTTAGAAATTGTGAAGGTTGTGTCTCCTCTTATAAAGTTGTTGAGAATTGTGGATTCAGATGAGAAACCTTCTTTGCCTTATGTTTATGAAGGCATGCAAAGGGCAAAAAAGGCAATCAAGGCAACATTCAACAATAAGAAAAATTATTACAAGCCTTACACAAACATTATTCAAACTCGATGGGATAAGCACTTTAAGATAAATCTTCATGCAGCGGCGTCTTTTATTGAATCCTGCATTCTTATATGATGAGAACTTTATTCACAAGAGAAGGTTAATGGATGCAATGCTTGACGTGTTTGAGTCCAATGAAAGTGAAGAAATTGATTATATTGTGAAGATGAAGCAATTGAGTTTGTATCGTGATCGTAAAGAGTCTTTTGACAAAACGTCATGTCAGAGAGCAGCCCAGAAATTAGATCCTTGTGAGTATTCATATTTATTATTTAACATGTCCATGGTAATTCTAGTTATCATATAATTAACACCTAATTAAATGTTTTTTATTTACAGATGAATGGTGGTCATTCTATGGAGGTTCTGTTCTAGAATTGCAAACTCTTGCAATGCGCATTCTTAGCCAAACTTCTTCTTCTTCTAGCTATGAAAGAAATTGGAGTTTGTTTGAACGCATCCATACTAAAATACAAAATAGATTACAACATCAAAGATTGAATGATTTGGTTTTTACAAATTATAATTTGCGATTGAAGTATAGATAAAAATTAGAGTTTTGAATGGCAATGTTTTTATATGTGATGTTTCTTTTCTTTTCTTCTTATTAGTTTATTTTTAATGGCATGGATAGATTATTGTTATCTTAACCTTTAATATGTGGTTCTATGTGCTATCATGGGGAGATGGGCAGCATAACAAATTCAAAATGCATGATGCACGGGGAAGGGATTACATGTGCATGTACATATTCATATGTTTTGCATGTGTCTCAGTTTCATGATGCTGTATTTTTTTTATTGTTTATCATATTTAATTGCTTTATTTTTTTTCAAGGAGTCAATTGAGGAAAAATAAAAGTTATGATCCCATTGATTATGAATCAATTGACAAAGTTGACTTTTAGATGGCTGAAGAAGAGGAATAGCCAGCTCCTGAGTTTGATTCTCAAGATGTTGCAAATCTTGAAAGTGTCATTTACAATGAAACCACAGCTGCTCTATCAACCCTTGAGAGGGATTATGAAGGTTTATTAAATCTACTATCATGTCTAACACAAGTATATGAATTTCTTTCTTAAAATGCCATTCATTAGTATTAATTTTTGTTTATTGTAGATGATAAATATATGAATGTTCTAGAGTCCCCACCTTTGCCTAATGTTGCTAGTGGTTCTGGTTTTTCTCATTCAACTCCTAATGTCTCAATGCCTGGAGATTTGAATGAAGTTAATGATAATTTTGGAGTTGGTGAATATTAGTTTTAGACTTTTTAATGATTGAAGGGTTGTAATTGTAAGGAATTAAGGATTGATATTTGAAGTGTTATATGTTATTATTGTTGGACTTTTGAGTGGTTAGATTTGGTTAACTTTTTTATAATTAATATCTTTTTATTTAAATTGCATTATTTTAATTATGACCGGTTTGTCACCGGTTCAACCCCCGGTTGAACCACTAACCCATGACCCAATGTCGTAACCAGTTCAATCACCGGTCCAGTTTTACGTACCTTGGTAAAAACCTTAAAAGATAAAAATATCATATATTTCCTCTAATTCAAAATATACTAGATTTTTAATTGTTCCATCAGGATTTAAAAAATAGTTAAACGTAATTTATATTTTATATCATTAAAATGATAAAAAAATTATCACTATTTTTTAAGATTACCTTTCAACTAAAATCAATCAATCTTAATTATCTTTAATTTTTTTATATGATTTTTCTCTATAGTACAATTAATAAGAACATTAATAAAAAATTGGGTCAAATGATAATTTGGCTTTTAAACTACATGTCTAAAATATTTAAGACTTAAAACTCATTTTTTATATATTTTTATCTTTAAACATTTAAAATTGTGACAATCTCTCCTTGCTATTAAAATTGAGAAAACTTGTTATTTTAAGAATAAAAATGTGTTAAAAATGAATCTATAGTTTTAAATGTTTTTAACGATCAAATTGCCATTTGGAAGATGAAAAAAGAGTCTTGAGGGTGGAAATGGTCCACACTCTGAGTGGTTTGGTTTCACATAAAACCATGCACCATGTTTGTAACGTATAGAGTTGCAGAGCATTGAAGCATAGGCCATAAGCTAGCTGCCTACTAGATCGCTCACTATATATATATATATATATATCTCATGTGACAAAGAAAGTGAAATCTTCATATTTATAAAAAACGCAATTAAAAATTCTATAAAAATATTAATTATAATTACATATTCTAAATTATTAAAATTTTAATTTCGGACAATAATTTTTATTTATAATGGAATATCTTATATTAATTGACTTAATATTCACAACTAATTTTTTAAAATTTTTAATTAACGTTGCAAAAATTTTCAAATATTTTTTGTTAGTTTCTCAAATAATTTATTTATATATTGAAAGCAGAAAATTACAAATGATTAGATTATGATTTGCAACTTACTACTGTAAATTCTCAACTAAAATTATAAATAATTTTAATTATATTTATTAATTTTTAAGTAATTTATTTATATATTGATAATAAAAAAATTAAGACTTACAAATAACTCTGGCAAGTTCTCAAATAATATTACAAATAATTTTAAATATATTTTTTATTTTTTAACGGACTATTCATATTTTTGTAATTGCAAATAAAGGTTATAGTTTATTATCAGGATTTTAATAATTCAAAATGTATAATTGAAATTAATATTTAGATCCTTAATTGTTAATTTTCCTTCCTATCTCTCTCTCACAGTTACACAACAACGCAACGGTAAGGTAAAAAGGAATTGAATTGAGATTCTGGGTAGAGGAAGAAAGAGAAGGAATAGGGAGAAAACAAACAACAACAAAAACAACAAACACCAAATCTTCTGCTAACCCCGAAAACTACAATTTAAAAACCAACAAATGCTAAAAAGCCATATTGCATTGGTTCCAGTTCTTTTGCCTTTGGCCCTTTTCTCCTTGTCTTCTTCCCCTTCTCTCTTTGATGCTCTCTCTCTCTTCTTTCAAAACTGGCTGGTAAAAATATTTTTTTCAGAAATAAACAAAAATAACAGAAAGCATTTATTTGTGTAATCTACTTCACCCTTAGCTTTTTTATTTCTTTTTTGGGTAAAATTATCTGGTATATTTGATAAAATTGACTAATTTAAATTGAAGTGTTATCAAAACTAAATAATTAGGGCAAATCCCACAACAACCTGAGACAACTTTATTTTTTCGGGCCGTCGTGAGACAATCTAAATTCATTTACTTTCATTTCGCTTCAAAGTTTCACTGTACTTCTGTTTCCTTATTTATAGCATTATTTTTATAATATAAATGTGTTTTATTTTTTATTCTTATTAATTTTCTTTCATTCTACATTTGAAATAATATGTGAGGTTGAAGGGCAATTTGAGCAGAAACATTTTAAGTTCAATTATTGTATAAAAATAATCAAGTATTCAACCGCAAACCGTCTGGTTTACTTTTGGCATTTTCATAAGACATACACACCATCCTGTAAATATATATATATATATATATAATAAATATTTTCTCATTCATTTAAAACCCCCAGGGCCTAATGAGCTCACCTTCACTTGCCATTTTCTCTTAAACCCACAACACAACACATCCCACTTCACTTCTCTCAGGTTGAAATGGTGCACCACCATGAAAGCTCCGAAGAAGCCAAAAACGACCCACAGGAGCAAGCGAAACGACCCAAGTTTTCCATAAACGACGACGTCGACATTCTCCGGGAAATCCTAAAACGACTGGACGGTCCTTCTCTGGGCGTAGCCGCCTGCGTCTGCCGTCTCTGGTGTAACCTCACTCGAAACGACGACACCCTCTGGGAGCACCTCTGTTTTCGCAACGTGTCGTCTCCTCCTCCACCCTCTGTCCGCCCCGTTGTCGTTGCTCTCGGCGGCTACAAGCGCCTTTACATGGTGTGCGTGCAACCCATTCTGAGTCGACTCGGCGACTCTGACCGGGTCAGGAAACGGGTCTGGACTCGTCACGCGGTTCAACTCTCCCTCTCCTTGTTTTGCATTGACAGCTATGAGAGAAGACTCAGTGGTGACGCGTCCGCTTCGTCGCTCATGTTCCTCTGTAACCCCATCAACGTTTGATTTATTGACTTTCTTTTTCATAAAAAAAATTTCGATTCGTTTATTAATATTATTATTTTGATATTATTTCGCCTTTAGCAAGTTGTAGCAAAATAATGGTAAACACTGTTTGGTATCGAACAATATGGACACATATCTACTACAAAAATATTAGGAAATAGGAACATTTTTTTCTGAACTCCTTTTTTTTTAATATTGTTGTTATGATTATATGTGTTGAAGTGGTCAAATGAATCCTATCTTGCTTATTATTATTAATTTTTTAATTTCCCCACTTGGTCTGTGTTTATTGAATATGGATTTTTCTTTCAAGAAAAACAAGTTGTAGTGATTAATAAAATTATGTATATCTTCCACTTTCAACGGCATTATCACTCATAACTTTTCAGAAGGATACTTGTTTTTTCTTTTTTTTTTTTTTTGGGCCTTGGTGAAGAAGGATGTGATTATGCGATTATAATCTTTAAAAGTTTTTACTTTATATATATATATATATATATTAATTTTCTTATTTATGCTAGGATAATAGGTTAATTTTTATAGTGATATATTTATGAATTGGAAGGTAATGTAGTATAAGCATCTGTATGTGGTAAGCCTAGCTACACAAATAGGAAGTATTTATTCCATTTCTTATTTTTGAAATTTCTTTATTTATATCCAATTATTTGTATTTATATTAGTTTGATACAATGTTATCAACATCGCATGCAGCCTTTAACAAAATTAGTAAAGATTTCTTGTGTTTAATTTTAATGAGAGAAGAAAAAATTAATCATTTAATCCCTATAATTTTGATCTAATTATAACTCAATCCTTAAATTTTGACTTGTTATAATTTTTTTATATAGATTTAATTTGGTTTTAACTCATTCCCTAAATTTTATCTCTTGCAACTCAGTCCTTATAGTTTCAACATTTAAATATTGATCCCTATATTTTAAAAAATAAAATTAGAAAGATTAAAAGCATTTTAAACTTTTAATAGTTATAATATTTATAAAGATTAAAAGGATTTAATAATTTAAAATATTAGTAATAAATTTTAACATAATTTTAATCTTTATAATTTTATTTTTTAAAATTTAGAGATCAATATTTAAATATTAAAAATATAGGAACTGAGTCAAAACTTTAAGAATTAAGTTACAATCAGTCAAAATTACAAGAACCAAATAATTAATTTTCTCATGAGAAAAATATACTTGTCCTCTGTGTGTGTACATCATAGCAAGGGTAGAACCACCCCCAAAAAAGAAAAATCCAAACTCCAAAACATTCTTTGTAAATATGAAATTTTTTATTTGCAAAAAATGTTGAAATCAATTGTTGTCCCCTCACTTTTAGATAAATTAGTACGGTACCCCGTGCAATGCATTAGGTATTTTTGTAATCTAAAATAAAAGTAATTTTAGAATATTAACTAATATAAATGAAAAAAGTTTACATAAAAAATTGTAATATTAACTAATAAAATGAGTACATAACTATGAAAACAAAGATTAAAAAACTTATCATGAATCAGCAAATATCCAAAATCATGATGGCCTTCCTCTCCATGTGCCTTTCATCTCCTTTCTCTGACTCTCTGAATGATGTCACTCATCCACCACTAAAAAACTTCTTTATTTTGTGTTTGGGTTAAATTTGAAACGTCACTTGCTAAAAGCCATGACCTCATATGGGTTAAGTAATTGAATAGTTAGTCCTAATTAGCAATCTAAACAAAGGGGCCAGCCCAGATCCCAAGAGAAAGACTCAATTCGATAAATATATCGAGATCCCATCAGTTGCAAACCCACTCCTTAGACCGTTGGTACATAAAATCACAATCTTAAATGGTCCTGAATCACACGGGGATATGATCATTATTCTTGAATATCTTGGAGGCACGGCCTAGTTGTTCAGTCGTGGAACGCATTGATAGAAGACCATGCCATGCATTTTACAGACCGTGCATAAGGAATCCCTGACTATTTGCAAGAACGTTCCAGATTCCACAAGAGTAACCTTTGTAGCTCTGTCATTATAAATAGAGCATCAAACCACAGGAAGAACACACGAACATTACATCCATAACTCTTAGATTTATTAGATAGTTTTTACTTATAGCTTTTATTTTCATTTCAGACTTGTAATCCTTTATACTTTGTAATCCTTTAGTATTAATCAAACACTTGTTCTATCAAGTCTTTTATATCTTTTACTTTCAAATAAACTATGATAAGGGAGCCCAGGAACCCTTTATCATTAATTGAGACTTAGCATCTCTAGCATGCTTGGTAATTTATTATTCTAGACGAACAATTTGTGATGCATCTGGTGGGACTTGTGTAATAAGATGCCAAGGACAAGAAAAGGCAAAAAGGTTGATAACACAAGTGCTGGTTCTCACAAGCCAGAAGAAAACTTTGTACTTACAAGGTTAAAACCATTGATACCGGAAGCTGAGACGACTGGACATCGTGAGCACGTAGTGTGTAATGCCCTTACTAATATTGCCATTTAATCTTCCATGCAATCTACTAATCAATTTAAGACATTTTTGAAAGTTTGGGTTCCCAAAATTAACTTTTAAAATCTCATTATAAACCATTTAAGTGGCACCAAACAGCACACAGCGGAAGCAAACAGTAGGGAATATGAATCGCAAAAGAAACCCACTTGAAACACTAAAATTTTCACAAATTTTGAGTCGTGCACCATAGCTCATGCCACATGTGCCATGGCATATGGCACAAAGACATCAGTGTCATGCTTTGTACTATGCACTGTGGCATGTTGTCAAACATTGACACATGTGCCACGGCACACATACCCGAATCTGTTGTCAAATTGTAAAATTTGATACTAACTTCGGACGTACATCATTTTCGCATTCGATGTTCAATTGAGATGATTCAAGAGCCCACATGAAGCTTGTTCTACAAACTAACCAATGACTCTAGTTTCATTTAAATCTAATATCCTATTTGAAAGTTGGACACCCAAGTGCATTATGACCATTTAAAGTTAAAATTCACCACTTGAGCATCTTTATTTGAAACCACAAGTTATTAGTCACTTTTAGGGCCTTGACTACATTCCAATAGATAATGTACATTTGATGGAGCAAATACATATGCATTATAACACATACATTTTGTCCATAAACCTCCTATTTCACACAAATTTAGGCATAATAGCATTTTCTCTCATTTCAAGCATATGAGTAACCAAACTTCCACAAAGATCATACATTTATCTTTCCCACATAATCATTATCAATTCTCATCACATACATATATACACGGTCATTTGGGCTAGAACTCAAAATTCCACACATTTTACAAGTTTAAGCATAAATATTGATTCCTATGGCAACTTATATACAAATATCCAACTACTATCATACAAAATTCATTACACCATCTTAAAATGAGCTTTTCAAAAAGTTTGTACTCAGCTCGTTTCTTTTCCCTTTGCACCACTACTACCAAAACCTGAAAAATGTAAATAACCATGGGTGAGATAAAAATCTTAGTAACCAATATAGTTCATTTAATGTTTATTAATATAAATAATTATGTCAAAGTAGCAAAACCAAAGTAATAGCACATATATAAATATATCAAAAGTATAAAGAATTTCCTCTTTTCAAAGCATTCCCACAATAACAAACAATAGCATGATCATATGTCCACCAAACTTTCAAAGCTCCTCAACACAAAACCATAGGCTCTAATGGATCATTCATTTATTAATTCGAGCACACTTTCGGTGGTAGAAACACCTTGCTAAAGGTAATCTATTCCACCTATGGTCTATGGTTTCCTTTATTTCACACACTTGTGATAGAGGTGTCGTTGACTCCTAATTGCACCCTAATGGGAACTAAGGAGTTGTTAGACTGCCTGGATGTCCCATGGTAATAGTCCCAATATAATACTGTACTCGATTACTCATGGTACTAACCCATAAAATGCTGCATTGGATGTCCCATGGTACTAACCCAACCATATGGATTTATTCACTCACGTGTCCACACACACATATCCACACTTACCTTGGGTGAACTCTTACCCCCTATGATCATGCTTCTTACACACATTTCATTGCTTTTCCACATTTACACACTTTATGCATATAATCATATATATATATATATATATATTCATTTCATTCAAAAGTGGTAATTATTTAACAGATTTATCAAAATCACTTTTCATGCCAAAACCATTTGCGAAATCATGCACAAATCTCACAACCATTGAAACTAAAATTTACACATTTGCTTCTACACAATTATAATAATTAATAAACATAATAAACTGTATAGTTACCTCAATCTTTCTATTCACAAGAAAGGGTTTCCCATGTTCCAAAAACCTCATTCAAACTCCTACTTGTGATTTCAACATGTCACACATGAGAATTTACACAATTGAGGCACCCAGAGTCAATTCTATCATTGACAAAAAGTTCCAATTATAGCCATTAAGCACATAATCATTATCATTTCCTTTATTCATGTTCATTCATACGTATCACAATTGGTTACCACTCATTGTAAGCATTATCACACTCACTACTAGATTTCTCCTATTATTCTCTCTCTAAATTAGGTTAATTTGAGCTTAAAGCTTTAAAGCTTTATCGTTCTGACTCATACCAGTCACAAGGTCCTAGTTTAGTTTTAAAGAACCTTTTTATTACTATAGGGTAAAAAATCAACTCCTTAAAACTTTTAGATTTAATTTCTCACTAGTTAAAACTAAGAGAAAATAGAATAGAATCGGAGATTAAGGCAGTACAAGACTTACCTGATAAGTAACAGGTTGGAAACGTCATCCTTCCTCCCAAAATTCGTTGCCCTAGCAGAGTTCCTCTCCCTCCTCTCCCTCTTGTACTTCTTTCTCTATTTGTCCTTCTGATTTCACAAGCTAGACATATACTAACTAATCATAAATTTGTGCCATGCATCATGGCGCATTCAGCACAAGTTGCAGAAGTGGCATAGTGAGGAAACTCCTCATTGTGCTCACATACTCTACTTCGCAACGCCGTTCTCCCACTCAAATTTATTCATATAACATCCTAAAGAGTCAAAATGACATTTCACCATCTAAAAATCCTAATTTCACATTAAATTACTAATTCATCCTTTAATTAGCATTAATACAAGAATCAAAAATTCAAGATATTACATAGAGCTAATGATAACAAGTAGCAATAGCACGAGCCTAAGCTAAAACCAAAAAGTAAATAGGTAAACCCATTGATTATATCTAGTGGTCCAATAGCAAAA